TTGAGATATCCTCGACTCGAATGCAGCCATCTTGTGCCAGTGATGTCATCCGGAGTCTGTGCAGTAGTGCTCCGGGGGATGGAACTGTGGAAGTGAGGTCCAGTCAAGTCAGTCTCAGCTGTCAGTCATGATGTTACACCCTGTTTTTATAGCATTAAATAAGAACTCCCTACAAGGAATGAAACCATCTTGAAGAAAAATGTGTGTGATGTGTACTTTTTAATTTGGAGCATGTCCCATCTGATAATATTTACGAGTCAGAGTTTATCATCTATACTGCAGCCACCAGGGGGCAATTGAGAAGCTTTGGCTTTACTTTTGGGGAGCAGTTAGTCGTCCGTCTTTATTTAGTCAGTGCTACTTGTACGATTGTTTTGATCTCTACAAACTTCAGCTCAACGCTTCGCTATGTTGACCAGCGTGTCGCTAACTTTGTCCTGCTGCTGCTTGGTGCTGTGCAGGTCTCTCTGTGGTGACATTCCACAAATTAATTCCATCAGATTAAGTTTGTCAAATATAATTAAAATACATTACACAGGGAAAAAGGTGCCGTACCATTCTTTGCCCAATGCATCAAGAAATCACTCCTGTAATGAGTCAAAGCTGCAATAAAATAGATTTTATGGTGAAGTGCTACAGTCACAATGAGGCTGAATGATAAGAGCTTATTGAAATGTCACATATTTGATCCATTTAACAGCCACCATGTCTCTTTATTATGCCTGAATACATTAATAGTTTAAGCCAAAGACATAAAAAGTAAATTAAACATAATTTGACTGTATGAAATGAAAAAAAAAAGCTCAAGTGCTTGACTGCAGCAGTTAGCCCTCCAGCGATCTGTCAGTGCCGTAAAACGTCCAGGTACCTGAACTTTGAAGGCCACAACACTTTCCCGTTTGACAGTGGTTTGGTTTTAGATTTCAGTCTATTTATTGATCACTTGTGACCCAATCTAAAGTTTGATCACAGCGATAGACAGGAAGAAACCACAAAACCAGAAGAGGGGAGTCATGCCCAGAACTAAATCCTGTTTATGTCATGTGTAATGTTATTTTACACATGACATTACATCATTCCATTGCCGTCATCGCCACCCACACTCTCCTCGTCCTCCTTATCATCTTCAATTAATCCTAGAGTGACATCATCGTACATTGACAGTGTATTGCCTCTATAATTGGGAGGCTCGTGCAACATGATACACTGGGGGAGCAATGACGACATTTCAAACCAGCTGCAGGGACCTGGTGAGCAGCTTGCTCTCATCAAGGATCGTATAACAGAGAATGTAAATGATGCTAATGTGTATTTTAATGGAGAATATAGGCATCTGTGAAACGATATTCAGATTGTAATATACTGCAATGAGTTGTCTCGACCTTGAGGGGGGTGCTCCTTATTATTATATAGACACAACAAAAGCAGAAATAGAGGAGGTGGAGACTGGAAGTGATAACCCCAAACCCAGGCTATACTCTGTACCCAGACAATATTTAAATGTGTCAGATCCAAAGTGAAAAGGAAAAACTACACAAGCATATTTTCATATATACACAGAAAAAGCTCAGTTAAGCTGAAGTTCATTATTTCATGTTAATGTAACATAGGTCAAGCACAAAAAAATGTGATATCCTAGATTATATTTTTTCCATATACTAGGATCTCTTTGTATAAGCTTACCATTTCCTGTTTTACTTTGTAGTTTCTTACCTTGCGTGTCTTGCTGGTTTCACTTCCTGTCTTCAGGCGCTATTCAGCCCGAAAAAACATTGCAAAACATTTATTTAGTCATAATAGTTTCAAGCATTGCAACTGTGGCAGCTGAGAAGGTAATTGGTGTCCTGGTGGAAAAAAAAACATGGAGGTAGATGACATGAGATTAAATACATGTTCAATAACAAAAAATACATTTGACTTGACAGTCTCTGCCTTTAACAATAATCAGAGTTAAAGAATAAATGTATATATGCTAATTCTATTAAATAACTTTATTATAAAATACCTACAACAGTTTCTTTTTAGACTCCATTGTGTGTACTGGTTTTCTTACTTTTCTTTTTTTTTGGGCCACATCAACCAAATGCAATTCAACATGAAATCCCAGGCAAAATGTTTTGACATTGAACCACCCCTGGTGCCAATGTGATTATTGGCTCTGCCCTAATGTGCTTCACCTGTCCCCTTCCTCTCTTCCTGGTTTGCCCCCATGTGCATGACAGCCTGTTTTTACTGACCTGGTAAGCCTGATTTATTTCTTTTAAAGATATATTTGTAGGCATCAATCCGCTTACTACACTCAAAATAATGTGCAACATTTGACAGTTTTGTTTCTGCAGCCATTACTTAGGATTTAATCGCTGTCTTTTCATATCTTAACACACATGAAAATTTCACTCACATTTTGACCAGATGTTTAAAATGATTGTTAACCCAGGACAAAAAAACGAAATCATCTACTTGTTAAGTTTGTGTAGAAGCAGTACTTTCACCCTTGACGAGACCAGAGGCTGTGACCTGACATCATTCTTAAATTTACTGGACCGGTGCGATAAAGTAATATGTCTGGATCTTCCCTGCATATATTCTCCCCAAATGAGAAGCTGTAATTTTATATATACAGAATATTGGCTCCAATAAAGACCTGGAACAAGCTGATACGGAATTTATATGATAGAAAGTCACAAGACGATTTCTCCCAGCTGCCTCCACCATTTTATTTATTCCTCACTGCGTTTAAATGGTTGTGATATTTTTATCGCCCAGTTATTTTTATGTTCGCATGCCTGCATTGTTTATTTTTGCGATAATGCTGCTGCCTTTTGTTATGCATCATCTTCAAAGTTACATTTTATGCAAAAACAAAAGGGCTTTATTTAAACTCAAAGTCAATGAGGTCTGGCCCTCGTTTACGGTGATGTGGAGCAAGTTTAAAATAACTTTTGACAGATGCAAAATACCAGAACAATCAATAAAAACCAATATATAGAAAATACAAGAAACAGAACAGAGAAAGTAGTTTTTAGAAATTATATAAATAAGAAAGCACAGTCTTCCGGTGCAAATACACACATTTACTTTTTTAAAGATGACTGAGACATACCCTTTTTTTCCCCGTGAGAGTACAAGTGCAAGACACTGATTCGGGAGTCGCAGCAAGGGCAGCTTTTGTGCTCCCCACAATCTAACAGCACTTTCTGTCTGGTTTCCTCAAGTGAAGTGAGGGGCGACAGAGGTGGTTAGCTATTGTTGCATAGACAGGTATAGTAATTACATTCCCCTCCATTCAGTTCTTATCTCTGTACAGCACCAGCGTACCCCCTCTCAAACTCCCATTATATGCTTGCCAAATGGGACAAAAGTCCAACATTCAATGGTTTTTCTTTTGGCTTTAAAAAAAGAGACACTGACATGTTCTGGGGTCGGACGCCAAAATTGTGTCGTGGTCACGCAGAGTCAGACTTTTAATTTATGGTCTGGGGGCTGGGTGTCATATCAACCGCTGGATTATCCTCATCTTGGCATGAGTGCAACAGAAAGCCCTCACCCCTGCTCCGACTGGTCACTTTAAATCAACTGTTATTATTTTTTCTAGTCCCAGCGGGTAGATATTCAGTTTTTGTCTCAACACATCAATACAAAGATCATATAGGAAAGCATGATTATGTTTGTGCTTTAGACATTTAAGGGTAAAAAAAACATGCCTTTCTCCATCTTTTCTGAAATTAAAATCCCCTCGACGTAGCTAAAGCAAACAGACTGCACTGACAAGTTCTTTATTTAAATGTAATTCAAATTTGCTTATTTGTCATGTCAATGAAAAGGAAAGCCTTTCTATTTTTGTTTTTTTGGCAGAAGGAATGACAAACACCCAACATTTCAGAGGAAGAATACTCTGTTCTTGATTGTTTTTCATAGCCCTGCTTTTCCGATATGCTCTAAATTACACAGAATTGAAGTGTTAGGGCTCGGTAGACAATTCCTTAATGAATACAAGGGCGATGCACATCACATGCGCAGTAGTTTGAGAGTGCACAGATGTTACAGTGGAGCCTGATGTAGCACAGAAAGCACGGCACTTGTCTTCTCTGATGAGAGGGCTCATTTGGAGCTGCCATTAGTAGACGTATGATTTATGACTCTGTCTGCCGCTCCTACAGAAACCACTGCTTTCACTTCAGCTGCACCCACCAAGAATTCAGAATCTGTCTCTGCTGCTGCTTCGTCTTTGGTGCTCAAATGCAGCACAGCGAGCTTTAGGGGTATGGATGGGTAGTAGAGAGAAAAGCTGCCTGGTACAACTAAATAAGACTTGTTTTATAAATAGATAGAATGATGAATGGAAACAAGGAGACGGGCGCTAATGTTGGATATAAATGTGATATTAAAATCACAATGTTCAGCTGTGTTTTGCTATATAATTGGTGCATAACACCCTGCATAAACATGCAAGTATTTATTGTAAGAATTTTTAATTTTTTAATCTCTACCCCCGTCATGCTTACCTGCTTTTCTTTTACTGTTTTCATGAAAATAATAGAATAAATAGAATGATATATAACATAGACTGGGATCAGTTAAAAGTATAATAATATAAACGGTTGTGTTGTCTCTAAAGTGCTTTTGGTGTTTTTACATTAGACTGTATATAAAGATGGACTACACACCTAAAAAAAATCACAGAAACAATCTGCTGCAAGTTTGTGCTTTTGACATAAAGAGATATTTTAAAGGCAGAGTCTATATAGCTGTGCTCGACCAATCACAAGTTGGTCTCGGCTGTCAGTAAAGACGTTGCGCCGCATTTTTATAGCATCAAAAAACGAATTCAAACCAAACTTACTGGAAAGATTATCACTTCAACAAACACCAGTGTGATAAGAATTACTTAGATTTCACTTTTATGGGTTGTGTGTGCTGTATGATAATTGTTTTTGCATTTATTTCCACTTAGCATACTGTATAAGAAATAAATGCACTGCACGGATTTGTGCCAACAGGCTGTGATGCAACACTGACTGCACCACGGGATGAGACTCAAACAGTGACTCTGATGACCCCACCGATCCCTGAAGCCATCATCTGCACACAACATCCTGAAAACTTGCCGAGGTGACGCACAGAACTAACTTTACTGCCTCTTTTCAGATCTCTTTGCGTTGTTTCTCAGCACGCCTGCCACACATGGAATGTTTATCGGACCATTTCATCATATTTCATCTTCCCGACTGTGTTAGTCCAAACCCAGTAAAGCAAAGTAACAAAGCAAGGCTTGTGCAGCCTGCACTGTGTCCAACTGAGCCAGCAGGACTCTGCGAGGCAGTGTTTTTCTTATCAAAGAGCTTCACAGGGAAAACATTCCCTCAGGGGGGCACATTAACTTGGTCACCTGTCACTTTCATTTCATGTCATATCCCTGATATTTCACACAAATTTCAACTAGTGGCTTTCTTTAACCAGAAAACAACATCTGATCCATTTGCACTTTGAAAATGACTCATTCTCTTGCCTTCTCTTTTCCTCGCTCACAGTTTCCTCTGTCTGTTCTCTGCCGAGCAGAAAGAGGCAGGACCGAGGTGTCGCTTCCCTGCCAGGCCGCTCTGCCATGACACAACTGTCCATCTGCCGGGCGCACGGAGCCATCAATCAAACAGCTGAATGCAGGTGAGTGTGTGGTACAATGAGCAACCATTAATCACTCCGGGGACACGGACGCCGGGAGGGGAGGGCGCTGAGAGGTAGTGATGGGAACACACGATGCAAATGTCACACATGATAATTGGGCATTCTCTCTCTTTAGTCGACCTTGTTTCACTTTTATCGGTAAATCTCACTTCATGTGTACAGTCACGAAGGGCTTGAAGGTTCTAGGTGTGAGACCCGGCGATTGCCTGCGCCGCTAGTACACATCAGTGATCATATAAAACTAATCACTGCTGGTTGAGCTGCTTGCTGGATGCAAAGTTGTATGATAGAGTTTTTAATAAGTCAGGAAAACATCGGATCTCTCAGGCCCAGTTGATACATTTCTTCTATGATGAGTAATATAAGTGGGAAAGCATCTCTGGTGATGTTTGTTTCAAATTCTCAGGTTGGATTGTTTGTACTAAACTATTGTAAAGTTGTTGGCCTTGTGAGATTGAAAAAAAAAATTGTCAGTCTGTGCAGCAAAGCCCCTTTTAGTCGCCTGAATGGCTCAGTCTTTAAAATCACTGCATCCTACGCTTCTCATTAATGCAACTAGATGGTTGCTGTCAGTAAATTCTCCCTGTCAACAGCAACAGCTTACAACTCCACACTGAATTGGTTGTACCAAACGTTAAATGGACTCCAGCTCCCGAGTACAAAGTCAGCGTGTTTTCTGAGAGAGTCTACTTCCTCAATTGTTGAGTTTTCTTTATTTTATGCCTTTTTTCCTGTGAAACAATAGTTTCCAAAGATTATTCAAATTAATATGACAAACGATAGGAGAGGACCATGGGTTAAGACCAGTCGTGGAATGTTAACGAAGTCCTTACGTACATTTTTCATGTGTCTGTACTTATGTTAATGTGTTACTTTTACTTCCTGAGTACTTCCTCCACCTCAGGTTTAGGCTGTGTGCTGCTAATTTTCTTTGTTGGTATTAACAGCCAGAAACAAGAGTCACTAGGTCGTAGGGAATAAGCCACCAGCAATATTTGTGCTCCTGTCTATCATTAACATGTGTCACAAGTGGACAGCTCTAAGAACGTAAATTGACACCAGGGATTGAAAAAATGCAAACAAACAAGTACAACAGTACAACACTGCTGTTTGCAGAGAACAAATGCATTGTTGATTTTAGTCAGACTATGACAGATGAGTCCGTCTTCGTGTGTGTGTGTGTGTGTGTGTGTGTGTGTGAGAGGGTCCAGCAGGAGGAGCGACTTCTACAGCTCTACAATGAAATACAATTTTACTCATTCGAAATAGCAAAAGAAGTTCAAAATCAATTCGTGGTTAGTTTTGATATTGTGGCAGGCCACTCAAAATACATCAATGTAAATAGAGTACACAATAGAGTACGTCCCCCCAAAAAATAAACACAAATCTTTGCAGAAACAGCCAGTTTTTTATTATAACTACATACGTGAGGCAATTCTGCACAAAACAGTAGAAGTTATCAGAACTTAAATAAATAGACACTATATACATTAAAGTGGCAAATATATACAATCGGATATATTAAAAAAAATGTAACAAGAGCAGAGAACAACAATAATGTAAAATATTAAGAATAAACAATATACAAATACAATATAGAATAAATATTCTAAACGGCATCCCCCAACACTGTCACTCACGACCAATCAAGACTAAACCAATTCACCTGGGTGACCACATAATCATTTTGTATCACCTATTTTAATTAGCTATTTCACACAATTCAGAAAAATGTGCAGGAATTATAGGCCTGTATTTATAACATTAATGAGATGTGCGTGATTTGGGAGAATTATTAGTGTATCCCCCCCCCCCCTTCTCAGCAAGCAGTGGTGCCTGCAGCAGCTGCAGGGGGCGCCAATTTCCCACACACTGGGACATGATAGATAATAGAAAACCATTTTGCGGCGCAGATTATTATTATTTTTTTAAGTGCTCGTGCCGCCCCCCACGTGACATGAAAAAATGCCGCCCCGGGCGACTGCCTGGTTCACCTGTGCCTAAAACCACCACTGCATGAACCCGTCCACTTGTAAACGACGAGGCTGGAAAACAGGACCGATGTGCATTCAGCTTCAGTTCTGTCAGAAATGCTCAATCCAACGCGGTTACAGTTTGGTGTGCTTGTGTTATTCAGCTCTCGGAGGCCGCCCGCTGTGGGATTCACGGTAACGGCATGAAATCCAGAGCAACATGTTGACTAACAGTTGGGAGGAATTATAATAATGCACCAGTGGGAATTAACGTGCTGTCCAGGGTGCCGTCAAACAGAATCCTTCTCCACCTGCATCAGTTGTGTTCCATCAGTAGATGAAGCAGGAAATGTGAGTGTGTGTCTCACATGCGTGTTTCTCTGGTTAGTCTGCAGGCTTTTGTTAACTAGCACTTTCTTCATCTCCCCCTCATGTCATGGTCGAAATGTCCTCATTTTAAGTCCGATTTTTCCTGATCTGCCCAGATGTGCAGTGTGGTACCTCTGTGGCAGTCTCCTCTCTCGAAGCATAAAAATAAAATCTTTTGCAGCCAATAGAAAGAGTTGAATGAAAAGAAAAAGATGTGTAAGCTGAGCTTTGCTGAAAAGCGAGGCAAGGTACTCTGTCTCCGAGAAAGAGGAGCCTGAGCAGTAAATGGAGATGGATAGCAGAGTTTGGCTGCTTTTATTGCTGTTTTTCTTACTTCTACTTTGGTTGTTTTGTACTTTTTTTCAGCATTTGGAAGCAAAGTATGGCGCAAAGAAATATCTTTCACAGAGTTGAATTCTAAAAAGAAATTGTCGCCTTGAAAAGTTGATTCACTCAAAGCTCTGTTTGCAACACCGTTCAACAATAGGCAGTTTGATTGAAGCAGTATTTTAGGGACATTAGTTACTCTAAATATAGGCGAATTGATCCATCCAATCCTTCCACTTATCCAGGCTCAGGTAGTTAATCTATAGCTTTTCAGTCCTACGAAGCTAGTTCACCTTGTACCAGTTAAATCAACATGGTAACTTATGCTGAACCAACTGGGAAAACTCCAACATGGCTGCGCTCAGCCTCGAGTATACGTCCATGTCCTGATGTGAATTGTGTCATGTTACTATTTTTAATTCCGACTTCTGTATATGTTGCTGACATGCCAGACAAATCTTTAAAAAAGTCCAGATTTAATTTTTTTTAAATTGATTTTTTCCTTGCAAAGTTTGAGATTATTCACATAATTGCTTTGTATAATGATTTCTCACCCAGAGGGGCGAGCACGTGTATTAGCTTGACCACGGGATGACTCTTTAAGACCCATTTATCGTGGCAAACTTGCACATTTCCTGTGGCGGTATGTAAGAACATATTAGCTGCAGTAAATTGCTTAATGGTGGTGTTGAGAGGGGGCATGAAATAGTTTATTCATTACAGAAAATTTCCACTGCTGCTCACCTTGGACCTTGGGATTTGGCTGGCAAGAAGAAAATCAAGAATGCTTGAGGGGGAGCATAAAGAATAATAATTTGCGATATAAATATAAATAATTTAAAATAATATACTGCTTAGCTGTAGAGTGGATCACCCAAAGACAATTATCTACAGGAAAGAGAGGGTGATTTATTTTATTTACCAGTTTTATAAAGACCCTTGAAGTTTAGAAAAGTCCCTGTTATCTAATTTTTGATTCATGTTCTATTCAGATATACATGTGGTTTTGCAGCCTTCGTGAATGTCTAACTGCTAAGTATATTAATTGCGAGCTCTTAAAGAAAATTACTACCCTGATATCCTGGCTGGAGCTGCATGAATTGTTTTTGCCTTTAGGAAATGATTCTGAAAAACAAATGCATTGGTTGATGGAGACAAAAAAACCACAAGGCAGTAATAAGAGCACAACTTAAATTGTCTTATTTTTAAGTTTACTAATGTATGTTTTCTAAATGGTTCAACAACGTTGGAGGCACGTGTAGCTTCAGCTTCAGTGTTTAAGCATGATGTTGCCAGATGAGCCACTGATTCTCTTCTCTTTACATTTTTGTATTTAAATGAGACATTCAACTGGAAATTCTTGAAAACCACAAATATACTTAAACCAGACTTTTATGTAAGATTTCTCTTATTATTTTGCCTGATCTCCTTGACCAAGCAAATTACCTTATACGTCTAGACTTTGAGCTTTTTTGAGCTTTTGCGGCTTTGAGTCATGATGCATTCGACTGTGGTGCTGAAAGCGGGCAGGAAGTTGAGTGTTTGATAATTACTGTCTTCTCTGTGTGCCTCCACTCTGCTCAGTAATTGGGGGAAATGTAATATAAATATGTGGCAGTCTTTTCAGTAAAATCCTTGATTTACAGCCAGTTTCAGATTGCAGATTTATTCTAAAAAGTCATATGAGGTTGGATTGTGCAAATGCGGTGCCAGGCCGAGTTGGGCTGGGGACACTCTTTCATTCCTTATATA